GTAACAATATTATGATACACGGAGATTACTATTTTCTATATAATAAAAATCACTCTGGCAGTATCTTCAATTTTAAAAACATTTATTATTCTTCGTGCAATAAGGGTTTTGGTATATAACTGTTCAGAATCTTCACTGCCTCTATTCTACAATTGTTTAGAATCTCTACTGTTTGTATTACATAAGTGTTCAGAACCTTTACTGTTTGTATAATATAATTGTTTAGAATCTCTTCTGTCTGTATTATACAATTGTTCCGAATCTTTACTGTCTTTATTCTACAATTTTACAGAATCGTTACTGTGTATATTATATAATTGGTTAGAATGTCTACTGTCTTTACTCTACAATTGTCCAGAATAGCTACTGTTTGTATATTATATAATTGTTCAGAATCTCCACTGTCTGTATTCTACAATTGCCCTGAATCTCTACTGTTTGCATTATATCATTGTTCAGAACCTATGCTGTCTGTATAATATAATTGTTCAGATCCTCAACTGTCTGTTTTATATAATTGTTCAGAACATCTACTGTTTGTATTATATAATTGTTTAGAACCTCTACTGTTGGTATTATATAATTGTTCAGAACCTCTTCTGTCTGTATTATATAATTGTACAGAATTTCCATTGTACAATTGTCCAGAATATCTACTGTTTATACTATAAAATTGTTCAGAATCTCCACTGTCTCTATTCTCCAATTGTCCAGAATCTCTACTAGTTTTATTATATACTCCACTGTCTCTACTCTACAACTGTCCAAAATTTCTACTGTTTGTATTATAAAATTGTACAGAATCTCCATTCAACAATTGTTCAGAACCTCTACTGTTTGTATTATATACTTGTTCAGTTCCTCCACTGTCTCTCTTCTACAATTGTCCAGTATCTATACTGTCTGTATTATATAATTGCTCAGAATCTCCACTGTCTGTATTCTACAATTGTCCTGAATCTTTACTGTTTGCATTATATCATTGTTCAGAACCTCTGCTGTTTGTATATTATAATTGTTCAGATCCTCTACTGTCTGTATAATATAATTGTCCAGAATCTCCACTGTCTCTATTCTACAATTGTTCAAAACCTCTACTGTTTGTATTATATAATTGTTCAGAACATCTACTGTTTGTATTATATAATTGTTCAGAACCTCTACTGTATGTATTATATAAGTGTTCAGAACTGCTACTGTCTGTATTATATAATTGTACAGAATCTCCACTGTCTCTATTCTACAAATGTCCAGAACCTCTACTGTTTGTATTATATAATTGTTCTGAAGCTTCACTGTTTGTAGTATATAACTGTTCAGAACCTCTACTGTCTGTATTATATAACTGTTCAGAAAGTCCACTGTTTCTATTCTACTAATGTCCAGAATCTCTACTGTTTGTATTATATAATTGTTCAGAGCCTCTACTGTTTTTTATTATATAATTGTTCAGAACCTTTACTGTCTGTATTATATAATTGTTCAGAATCTCCACCGTCTCTATTCTACAATTGTCCAGAATCTCTACTGTTTGTATTATATAATTGTTAAGTACCTCCACTGTCTCTATTATACAATTGTCCAAAATCTCTACTGTTTGTGTAATATAATTGTTCAGAATTGTCACTGTCTCTATTCTACAATTGTCCAGAATCATTACTGTTTGTATTATATAACTGTTCAGAACATCTACTGTTTGTATTATATAATTGTTTAGAACCTCTACTGTTTGTATTATGTAATTGTTTAGAATCTCCACTGTTTGTATTATGTAATTGTTCACAACCTCTACTGTCTCTATTCTACAATTGTCCAAAATCTCTGCTATTTGTATTATATAATTGTTAGAAATCTCTACTATCCATATTCTACAATAGCTCAGAATCTTTACTGTATATATTTCACAATTCTCCAGAATCTCCACTGTCTCTATTCAACAATTGTTCAGAATCTCATCTGTTTGTATTATATAATTGTTCAGAATTTTCACTGCCTCTATTGTACAATTGTTTAGAATCTCTACTGTCTGTATTATATAATTGTTCAGAATCTCCATTGTCACTACTCTACAATTGTCCAGAATCTATAGTGTCTGTATTATATAATTGTTCAGAACCTCTACTGATTGTATTATATAATTGTTCAGAATTTCCAGTGCCTGTATTATGTAATTGTTTCAAATCTCTACTGTTTGTATTATATAATTGTTCTGAAGCTTCACTGTTTGTATTATATAATTGTTCAGAACCTCTACTGTCTGTATTATATAATTGTTCAGAACCTCTACTGTCTGTATTATATAATTGTTCAGAACCTCTACTGTCTATATTATATAATTGTTCAGTGCCTCCACTATCTCTATTCTACAATTATCCAGAATCTATACTGTCTGAATTATATCATTGTTCAGAACCTCTACTGTTTGTGTTATATAATTGCTGAGAACCTCTATTGTCTGTATTGTATAATTGTTCAGTACTTCCACTGTCTCTGTTCTACAGTTGTCCAGAAACTGACAAAACTGATATGATATTAACAATGTATATTACCATTAATTATAAAAATAAAATATATGTTAACTTACCACCCTACTTAAATGAAATTGTATAAAAAAAAAGAAAAAAGAGGAAAAACAAGTAAAGAACAACAATTTAGCAAAATTAAGTATGATGTAAGGATGGCAAAGCCAAAAAGTACAGAAACAAGGTAAGGATGAATACACAGAAC